GACAACGAACATTAAGCTACAATGATAATATTCAGAAACAATCTTATAATTATTTCCTATTGGACAACAAGAGAAAACTAAATGGAAAAAGATTAGGCATATAAGGTGACATCGATTATAGACTGCCAAAAGAAACGTTCATCCGCTATGCTAAATGATCAAAGTGTCAGAAATCCCATACCTGTCGCTTACATATCGATCACGGCTTCCATATTTATCACGGCTGTCAAAACGATCCCTATCTCCATAGCGTCCTCCATCATAACGATCATCCACAAAACGATCCCGCTCACCAAAGCGATCCCGATCTCCAAAACGATCCCGATCTCCAAAGCGATCACCACGGCCCTCAGTTCCACCAAACCTAGAACGAGAAGAGAATGTACCTCCAGCTCCACCTCGATCACCACCAGCTGAAGGGCAATCTCTGGCCCAGTGGCCAGGACGCCCACACTTGAAACACTCATCTTCCCCTATACGCCTCTCTCCTCCATAGCCTCCTCCCCTGCCACCAGTAGAGTAGCCACCTCGATAGCCATGGTCCAAATCATCTCCCCCCATCTTGGGTTGGGCCTTATTCACTGAGATGGTTCGATCCCCTAATTCCCGTCCATGCATTTCCCTGATTGCATCTTCCATGGCTCGGCGATCTGCAAAGGTAATGAACCCAAATCCTCTTGGACGACCTGTATCTCTTTCCAACATGATCTGAACGAACACAACACTGAAGAAGTTGATGCCAAGCAATAGCACAAATGCAACTAACAGTTACTGGTAATACAATGCAGCACAAATAATGTATAAACTCCTACTTCAATATGGATTAGTACAAGAGAAGCAATAAAATCATATAATTCACAACCAAAAATAAAAAATAGGCATAACATCTAGTGCCATATAAGATTTTTATGATGTTTACTTTGAGAGCTTCATGGAGCTGTGCACATCCCATTCTTAGGAATATTTTTATTAAGTAAATAAGGATTTGCACAGAAATTCCAGAATAAAACTTAGGATGACACCATCGATGGATGGCTGGCTTCTAACTGAGTAAGGACAAACATTATCAAGCATAAATCTGCCTACCTATTAAAGATTAAGTAGCTGTCGATAAATTAGTACTCCGACAGACACCCACTCATTAGTGGCCAAGAAGTTTGCAAAGAGTGCCAAAAGAGAATTCTCTCTGCATATTCTCAGTCAACAAAAATCAACCATAAATCATGAAAACTTGCAGAACTCCACTTTCTCAGAAACCTCTTAGGTTTTGAAATTGAATATTGCAAACTGCTCTTT